GATGTCATTTACAAGACCATCAAAAGTAGAAAATATTTAGGAATACGTAACAAAAAGACCTGTACATTAAAAACTACAAAACATTGCTAGAGAAGTTAAAGAAGCCCTATATAAATGGAGAAACATACCTTGTTCATGAATCAGAGATTTCAATATTTTAAACTTTTCCCAAATTGATCTATAGATTCACCATAATCCCAATCAAAATCCCAGCAGGAAAATTTATCTTATTTATTTTAGAAATTGACAAGCTACACCTTAAAATTCATATGTAAATGTAAGTTACTTGGCATACTGCCCACCCCCAGAAAAAACCCTTGAAAAGGAAGAGTGAAGTTGGACGGTCAACACTACCTGATTTCAAGATGTACTATCAAATTACAATAAATTTTAAAAAACACTGTGGTACTAGCAATAACACAAATAGATCACAAGAACAAAAAAGGAGTCCAAAAATAGGTCCACACATAAATGTGAACTGAGTTTTGGAAAAACTACAAAGGCAATTCAATGGTAAGACGGTGCTGTAACAATAGGATATCCATGTGCAAAAAAATAAACTTCAACTCATATTTCAAGCATATTTACAAAGTTAACTAAAGAAGGATCACAGACCGAAATATAATCCTAAAATTAAAAATCTGCTAAAAGAAATCATAAAATGAAAATCTTTGTGACCTCTCTGTAAGAAATCAATAAAATATATTTGAAAAAAAACTAAGAAAAGTTTGATTATATGGACTTAAAATTAAGAATTCCTCCTCTTTCAAAGAAAATGTTAAGAAAATTAAGACAATTCAAAGTTGGGGGAGAAATCTGATAAAATACTTTTATCCAGAATACAAAGAATTTTCACACCTGAATAAGAAAACAAACAATTTAAAAACAGGTAAAAGATTTGAGCAGCCACTTCATCAAAGAAATTATACAGTGATAAATAAGCACATGAAAAGAAGCTCAATGTTATTAGATATCAGGGAAATACTAATTATAACCACTACATACTTCTTAGTGGCTGAAATTAAGAGGACCGGCAATAAGTGGGGTTGGTGACTTGTGGAGAAAATTAGCTAGCTAGCTTAGACAGACAGGAAGAGGGGGTCCAGGGAAGATGGAGGCATTTCTGGCCTGAGCAATTAAAAGCAGCCTTGACCTGATCAGCTGCGAGAGCTATCAGGGAGATTAAAAGCAACTCCAACCTGAACAGATAAGATGCATATGTGAAGGGCAGAAATAGCTCCAAGACTTTGAAACTAATACTAAGTAACAAAATAACCAATGAGGAAAGTACAGGGGTCCTAAATTAAGGAAGGGTCCAATTAGAAAGGGTCAAGTTCAGACAAAGAACTACAGTCTTTATAAAGCCAGAGACAAAGAGATTTACAGATTTTTTAGATTTACTACTAGATTTTTCCCACTAGAGAGAGAAAACAGGCTTTTCCCATTTGGGGACTCCTTCTCAGGGCATCCTCTTTGGGGACACCCCTGCCCAGATGGAGTTTGTATATGCTTCCAATAAACTTCTACATTTTTATTTTAAAAATCTTTTAGTTCTCGAATTTATTCTTCAATTTTGTCGGATAAGGACCCACGAGAAGTTTGCACCACGAACCGCCCGTTTCAATGAGAACGTAAAATGGTAAAAAACAGTATGGCAGTTTCTTTAAAAAATTAAATAACTGCCACATGATTCCAGCCATTCCACTCCTAAGTATTTATCTAAGAGAAAAAAAAAATGTGCTATACAGGTATACCTCAAAGGAGCTTTATCTGCAATAGCTGAAGCTGAAAACCCACATGTCCATCAACAGGTGAATGGGTAATCAAGCTGTGGCACATTTATACAATGGAATACTACTCAGCAATAAAAGCTATGTGCTATTGACATACTCAACAACAATACTGTTGAATTTCAAAAGAATAAACTGAATAAAGGAAATTACACAAAAAATAAATATTGTATAATTCCACATAATTCCACATTACACACACACACACACACACACACACAATACAAACTACTCTACGGTGACAGCAGGTCAGTGACAGACCAGGGAAGAGAGTAGGTGCAAGTAGGGATGGAAGTAAGGGATTCCAAAAGAGAAAAAGTAAACTTTGGGGAGTTACTATTCTAATTGTCTGGATATGTTCCTGATCTTAATTGTCATGATGGCCAAAAATTACACAATTATACGCTTTAAAAATATGTGCAATTTATTGTATTGTCAATTATACCTCAATAAAATTATTAGAAAGAATGGCCCAACAATAATCAATATATTAGCTAAACAAGAACTCATCTTTTTCTTTTTAAATCTAGAAGGCTGAATTGTTACTTTGCCATAGATGATGAAAATTAATATTTAGTCACTACATGTCAGGCATTACATGTGCTAACTTAGTGTAATTACTTAAAGTTATCAGTTATATACATAAAAAAGGGGGGGTTGGGGAGATAAGAGGAAAACACAAAACTTTTGAAACTAGACAAGGTTTTAATTCTTTAAAAAATAACTCTTAACTTCCAATTCCTACATATCAAATATCTAGCAGTATTTTCAGAGTCAAGTTCTATAAATTCAGCTGGAATTGTCCTATAGTGGGAACCCATGCCTGAAAAAAGTTTACACTGGATGTTTAAATGTTATATATTTGGGTCCACTGAATTATATAAGTATCTACTACGGCCATACCACCCTGAACACGCCCGATCTCGTCTGAATTATATAAGTACCTTAAATAAATGGCAGTTCAATCTAAGGGTTAAAAAAATATAGTTCTGATGAAACCAAATCAAAATCAAAATCCTGTGTAACTGGCAATACTCAATTACTTTATGTGAAACTTGTACCTGTTTCCAAAAAAGGGTCTCAAGTGTCTCTTCTATGCACTATATTTTGACAAGGTTTCTAAACCTCAGCACCATTGACATCTAGAGCTAGATTATTATTGTGAGAGATTTTCCTGTGCATTGTAAGGTTTTTGTTTTTTGTTTTTTCAACATTCCTGCTACCCACTAGATGCTGGAAGCACCTCCCCCAAGTTTTGACAGCAAAAATGTTTCCAAACATGAACTTCCTCAACACAGAGGGCAGGGGATCTGAAATCACAATGTTCTCTATTTGAAGGTTCTTAAGGATATTTTAAACGTTTTTATACGGTATATGTTCTACTTTAAAAAAAAAAAAAAAAAAAAAAAAGCCCATAAGTCACTAAAAGGTAAAAGGATTTTTTTTTTTTTAATTATTGTTTTGTTTCCAAACCAAGGAAACCAAGCCATACAAAATGTGCGATATGTGTGACCACTTAATTTAGATCTTGTCTCCTCGGTCATGGAAGAAATTTCTGTCAGAAAAGTATATATGAGCCATTCCTTCACTGTAATATTAAAAAAGTATGGCTTAATTTAGGAAACGTCAATACTCCACTGATATTCAACTTTATAGTTCTGCCACTCATTACTCAACCTACAGTTTATCCCAAGTAGGTGTCAAATTCCATGAAGTCTTCAACTTCAAACTTCCATTATCTGTGATACGTCTCTTACACTCACACATTCTTTCTTTTTCTCATTCTCTCAGCCAAATGTTTTCTTCAATGAGTTAGTTCTCAAGTGGAATGAAGACCATAAATTAAAAGATCACAGTCTCAACTACATTTAGGAAATTTATATTTTCTTGAAAGCTGGGCTTCTTTTTTATACCATTAAACAGTATTTAATTGTTTTCTTTCTATTCCACATCCTACTTACGATAAAGATGTGCTGTCATAAATGTAGGAAAAGTAAAAAACATACTGGAGATATGAAATCTGGGCTCCATTTCTGGCTCTGCCCTCTAGTACCTGGATGGCCACCTGACATCAGCTTTCTCATTAGTAAACAATGGAGGATAATATCTAGCTGTACGGTCATTGTGAGGATTAATTATAAGTTATGTGAAATCATTTTGAAAACAGTGAACCACTCTACACATGTTAGGTGTTACTGGTGGTATCCTGGCAGTGTGATGTGATGTGATGTGATGTGTATGGTACGGTTCGGTATGGTAGAGAAACAGGCACCTCAAATAAGGGACTTAAATCACGGAATAAACTCATTAGGAAGAAAGCTTGAGACAAATTCTAAGCCAGGGCTCATTCATACATTTGGGTTCAAAATTCCATTCTGGCATTAACTCTGTATTAACTCGGGCAAGCTAACTTTCCTTTTCACCTCAAATTTCATCAAAAAGATCCAATTACTGAGCCAGATAAGTCCATAAATACTATTACAGCCCTGTGAGTCTACGAAATGACCCACTATCCAAGATTCCTCTAACACTATATCCAAAATGCAGCACTCTTTGGTCTGCCAGCAAAACAGTACTACTGAGTAGAGGGACACAGACGATAAAAAAAAATTCTTAATAAAAGTAGATTCCATGTAACCTCCAGGGGCAAAGGAAGCCGTAAACTGCCTGGTCTGCTGTGATTAATCCTACTTCTCTCCACGGGGCAGGAGCGCTGAGCCAGGTGCATTACCGAGGGCGGGGCTCCTTCCCACAGGCTTTTTGGGGAACCACCCACTTTCCCAAAAAAGGTGCCACTGCCTCCTCCTGGCCCTCATGAGGCCAGAAACTTGAACACCACACGTCCAGGTCTAAGCTGTCCCAGGGAGGATTATTTTCACTTGGGCAGGGACGGCGGGAGTCATCTATCAGGCAAACACATCCTATAAACACCATTCATTATCCACGGCACCTCGTCCACCCAAAGCCTGAGAAAGATCTGTTTTAAGATAACGCTAGTTAAAAAAAAAAAAAAAAGACCTGGGATTATTCACTCAAAATTAGATAACCCTGTGTTACCGGCAATTAGTGTCTGACAAGCGCCAAGTTTTCTCTTCCCCAAATTAACCGCCCTCCCGGCCCCCGCCGGCGCCGCTCCGCGCCGGGCCGGGCTCCCTGGGGAGTCCCCGGTCCCCGGAGGCGGGCGGGCCGCCGCCGCCCCTCGCTCCTCACCGATGACGCATCGCAGGTGCTTGAGCCGGGTCAGCGCGTCCTTCTTGGTGTCCAGCACCTTCTGCGTGGATTTCTTCACGTCCCCGTGCGGCTTCTTGGAGAACATGCTGCCGCCTCGGGCCCCCCTCGCGGCCCGGGCCCGGCGGCGGAGAGCGGAGCGAGTGGGCGGGGAGGACACTAGCGCCAGAGACTCATTCACTCCCCGGCCTGGCGGCCCCGGAGCAGCCGACTCCTCCCAGACCGCGGCCGGGCCGCCGCCGCCTTCGCTCCGGCCCCAATATGGCGGACCGCTGCTCCGGGCGGGCGCGGAGCCGGGGGACCCGGGGAGGCCGCCGCCGCCGCCGCCGCCGCCGCCCGCTTCCTGTGGCCGCCGCTCGCCGCCGCGGCCGGCCCGGGACCGGCGGCGGGGGTGGGGCGCTGGCGTCGGCGGCGCTCTCCCCTCTCCCGGAGGCCCCCTTAAGGCGAGAGCGTCTGTAGCAGCCTGGATCCTGCAGGAGCCGAAAAGAACCGAGCGCAGGGGATTTCACGACTCTGCCGTCAAGTGGAGAGGGTCCCCGTGGCAACCGTCTTCTGACGTCTGACGTCAAGGCTTCTTGACGTCATGCCAACGTGAGATCACCCGTGGCATGATCCCCTCCCCTTGGCTTTCCTGGGTAAGCAGGCAAAGGAGAAGCCCAAGAGAGGCAGAGAAGGTAACTCCTGCGTGCGTTGTGTGAAGCAAACTCCCAGAAGAGTATCATGTACTTTTTTTGTTTACAAAGGTCCTTCATCTCTACTGTGAAAATAGCTCCAAAATATCAAAGCAGACGTGTGCGATACAGTTGAGGTGCCAATGCTGAAGACTGTTATAACGCCCCTTCATTTACTAATTTGAATTTTAAGTGATTTTTGTTTGTTTTGCAAAGCGATGATTAACAACTTGCTGTAGTGTAAAGATTTGTAGGGTTTCTAGTACATCTTCTCGATTAAAATTATCTTGTACAAATAAGTTACGCTGTTACCAGAAAAATTACAGGGCAAACAAATATGGAGAACTTTAGGTTGAGTTTTTCTAGTATGTAAAGAGTACCCAAATCCAGGAGGAAATTAAGGCACAGGTAGAAGAATTAGTAGAGAACATGGGGGAAAAAAATCACGAAAGTGTATACACATAACGAAAACATGTGAAAAATATTCACATTCATTAGCAATTTCAAAAACCAAATTAAAACAAATTTTAAAACCATTTTTAAAAAGCTGTATTAAGGTGTGATTGATATACAATAAACTACATATTTTCAAAGTGTACAGTTTGGTAAGTTCAATGTTTGCATACAACCATAAAAACATCACCACAATGAACAAACTATGCATCACTCCCTCAAAATTTCCTTTGCCCCTTTGTTATCCCTTCCTCCCATTCCCACACCCCTGGTCCCCCAGGCAACCACTGAGCTTTCTTTCACTTAGAGTTTGCATTTTTTAGAGTTTTATATAAATGTAAGCATAGAGCATACTCTTTTTGGAGGGTTAAGGGGGGGGAGCGGGTTAAGGCGTGGGGAGGAGTCTGGCTGCTTTTACTCAAATTAGATCTTTACTAATCAGAGAGAGGATTATTTCAGTACTTGGATATTTACTAATTAGTGAGATTAATAAAGATTTTTAAATTAGCCATCTTACTGATGGTGAGTGTGACACCAGACACTTCTATTGCTTGCGGGGAAGAAGCATTAATTACTACAGACTTACTGGAAATTAAAATTTGGGGTTATGGCCCTGTCCGGGTTGGAACATTTTTCCAATATGCCAGTGTTTTGGGTTCCATCCCTGGTCAGGGCACACACAAGTGTCAACCAATAAATGCGCGAATGGACATCATTTGTGCTCTCTCTCTCCTCCCCCCCACTTCCTCTCTCTCTTTTTCTCTATCTTCCCCTTCCTTTCTCTCTAAAAAAAAAATTGTCATTATGTATCATGACACAAAATATTTATATATCTTGATTCATTAGTTCCACTTTTAGAACTCTATTCTAAAAATAAATAAATAAAATGGGAAAATTACATACCAAAGTATAATTAAAGCATAATTAACAACACTGAAAGACTGGAAATAATATGAATGTCAATCAGAAAGGAGATGATTATTCAAAAGGTGGAATGTTATACAGCCATGACATGTGAAAACCTTTTATTGACATGGAAACTTTTTAATGACATGGAAACTACTCAAGACAATGTTAAGTGAAAAAGCAGATACCCAAACTGAAAATATGTATGTTATCAAAGCTGGGAAAAATTATGCATATAAATTACAGTTAGAAAAAATATTTTTAAATACTCTAAAATTGTGATTATATCTACAAAGTATAATTGCAGGTTATTTTCATTTTCTTCTTTATAGTTTGCTTAGTTTCTTTTCTTTTTTTTACAAAAAGCATAAATGGCTTTTAGAATTTAAAAAACAAATTTTTAAAGAAAATTAAAAATTCTAATGCACCAATTTTACACTCACAAAATAAATTAAGACATATAGAAACAGAAACTCCTTAAAACAAGGGCTTTATTAATCATTTACTTTGCCGAAACCGGTTTGGCTCAGTGGATAGAGCATCAGCCTGTGGACTCCAGGGTCCCGGGTTTGATTCCAGTTAAGGGCATGTACCTTGGTTGCATGCACATCCCCTGTGGGGAGTGTGCAGGAGGCAGCTGATGGGTGTTTCTCATTGATATTTCTAACTCTCTATCCCCCTCTGTAAAAAAATCAATAAAATATATAAATAATAATAATAATAATAATAATAATTTATCTTTATGTCCTACTATAGCACAGAATAAGTATTTTTTGAGATTTAAATTGTTATGCTTACATTATAAAATATGTTCTTTTGATAATAGAAGAGCCATTCTGACTATCATTTATTTGGTGATTTAGACACTTGTGTCCCTGTCTGTAACCCAGATCTCTTTTCTGAGATATTAATTGGACCTCGCATTTAGAAATTCCACAAACTACTCAAATGTAATATATATATACACAAAACTTGTAGTCTTTGTCTTGCTTCTTCCCAAATCTTATCTTTCTTCTTCACCAAATATCTTCATTGATAATACCATTTGTCAATCCAGAAATTAGTATCAGTTTAAGGCTTCTTCTCTCTTGGCCGATTTACTCCCCACCCCCACAACATAGCAGGATTTGAGCATCCATTCCTTTCTAATGAAATTTTAAGAGTTAAAAACACACAAACACAAACCATGCTTCACTGTCCGAGTTAGACTTCAGCTTTCTGGCACCCTGAGCAAAGCAAGTGACGGGGCACATAACCAGGTCAGTCCAACAAAACTTACTCCTACAAGTATTGGAAAAGAGAAACTCGTTTTTTCCAAGATGATGGCTTGGAATTGCTAGGAACCAGCATATGAAAGGAATTGCTGAGGATTAAGCAATAATCCAGGAACAGAGGGGATAGTTAGAAAGAACAGACTGAGCCTTGATAACATTCTTTGGGTATTTGAATCCAACTTGCCTGAGTACCATGATCTTTTCTATTTCACAGGCCAAAAAAGTCCTTATTTTGCTAATTCCAGTTTCAGTCCCTTGCAACAGGAAAAATCCTGATTTACACATTTTAAATATATTCTCCCAGGCTGAGTAGAGATTACAAATTTTAAAAAAGCAAAACAAAAAACCAAAATTGCTTGTAAATAATATTGCAGCACTCTCCTGAAGCCCTCCAGCAGTGCTTCCTGTTGTCTTTACATGACATTCACCACACTCGGTTATGGTCCTTCTATGCTTCCTCTCCATTGTATTGGACTGCAATCTCTCCTTAAGACAAGTTTTTGGGTCCCACTGGCGTGGTTCAGTGGTTGAGCATCGATCTGTTAACCAAGAGGTTGCAGTTTGATTCCATTTAGTCGAGGCACATGCCTGGGCTTGGGGCTGGATCCCCAGTGTGAGATGTGTAAGAGGCAGCTGACCAGGGATTCTCATCATTGATGTTACTATCTCTCTTTCCCTCTCCCTTCCTCTTGAAAATCAATAGAAATATTTTTTTAAAGGGGGGTATTGGCAAAAAATATTTTTTATAATTATTGTAAATAAGGGCAAGCCACTGTTGCAGGGAATCTGTCCATCCCTCAATAAATTTCCCTTCCACTTAAAAAAAAAAAAGGACAGGTGTGCGTGTGTGTGTGTATGTGTGTGTATGTGTGTGTGTTTCATGTTCCATAATTCAAGGCTCCGAGGATTGTCTTCTCTCTCTCTCTTTCTCTCCTTCCCCTTCTCTCCTTCTGTCTTCCTCTATATATATCTGTATCTGTTTCTCTCTTTCTCTGCCCTCCCAATGGCACCAGGCATGAGTAGACATTTTCAGGGAAAGCATGAGTAAATACTAGGCACTCAATAAATGCTTACTGAGTTTATGCAAATATAATAAAGCTGCTGTTTTTGCTGTCAATTCCGGAACAGTAATCTGCCTATCGGGGGACACCAGAAGTGCAGAGAGGATGCTGGAAGGAGGACAAAGACAGGAGCGGACCAAAATGTAAGCAAAGCCAATCTTTTACTTTATAGGCTTTGATTCATGGGGAAACGTGTTTTATGCTTTCCTTAAAGTTTGAGGTGGAATTTAAAAAAAATGTTATGCTGATCTATTTAAATGGTGGGTGTTAAATTGATATTAGGGTCTTAACATATCAGAATGTTGTATATGGTTGAGAAAAGAATAAGGATATAAAGAATAAGATAAAAGGAAAAGAAAAAGAATGATAGTCTTTATTAAACATTTCCATGATTTATCTATGAAAATTAGCATAAGTTATGGTCACCAGAGACAGACAGAAAGATAAACTTGGAGGCTACAGTTGGGGCAATTTATTGTGTCCTAACTCTATTACTAAGAATTATTTCTATATATTATTTATGTGTTTTCTTTCATACATTTTCTCTGTTTGCTATATCATATCCCAATTTTTTAGTTGCAAACAACTTGACAACTAAAAGACTTATAAGCAGAACTATATATTTTCTACAAAATTCATCTTGGTTTCCTTTCTATTGTATTATTTTTTAAATCCCCCTTTCCTTATTTGTACCCCATGTTAACATGGATATGTTGTCACTTTTTCATCTGCAAAGAAAAATTTGATATCCTATAACACTGATGTAGTCAACCAAAGAATCTGCGGTAACTGAAAAATGTCAGTGAAATTGTGCATGGTACAAGTTAGAGTTGTTCTTGGAAACCCGCCTCTATAAAATAGTTTCGTTAGGAGTGAGCCTGCTTGTTTGTGAGGTTGTTTCCTCCTGCGTTCTCACTCAGTGCTGTGGGTCAGTCCTAGGCTCTCCCATGGGTCAGGAGAAAGAGCATTTCCGGTCACATGCATGGGAGACTGTGGTCTTGTGGCAGGATTTGTTCGGGAAATCTGCCCCTGCCCCTTGGGTTTCCAATGTCCCAGGGCCTCTGTCCCTCCATGGGAAGAAGTCCAGCCACGTCTTCAGCAGGACCAAAATAAAAGCCAGTCTCCAGAAGCTGTGCTT